TTCCATTCAATATGAATACACACACACACACACACACACACACACACACACATATATATATATATATATATATATATATATACACTCCTGTATTATTCCATTCAATATGAATACACACACACACACACACACACACACACACACACACACACACACACACACATGATAAATAAAGAGAGACTAGTATAGATCTATTTCAAGCTATTGATATTTCAGCTAGCCATCCCCTTACTGTGATTCGAACCTGGGCTGTATTACATATTAGGAAGCTATATTAGCCACTAGGCCACAGGTTCGCCTCCTTTATCATGTGTGTGTGTGTGTGTGTGTGTGTGTGTGTGTGTGTGTGTGTGTGTATATATATATAAATATCCATTTTCATAATTCTATAATATGTGATGAACACTATGTACACACACATACACATGCACACAAATACAAATATTCTAGTGTTCATCACATATAGAATTATGGAAATGGATATATATATACAGTACAGACACACACATTATTCTAGTGTTTATCACATATTATAGAATTATGAAATATGCATCTTCAATTCATCTTATCTGGAAAAGTACATTAATAATTGAAAGTTACCAGATATAAATTATATATAATAATAATTAGAAGCTTGGGGGCTGCAATCCACCATCATTCCTTCTCTGGATCCCAGAACTTTCAAAGATGGAGGACAAAAAATTGATGTTTTTTTTTTCATTTGAAGTTGGCAGAGCCCTGCAGATGCTCTAATGTAACCATTTACACCTGAAACTAAAACACTTGCAAAACACGCTTTGGCTTTGTAGAAGGGGAAAACAGCTAAGAACATCCTGTTCTTCCTCTTCCTTTTCTTTACCATCTGTATAACCCCAAGATAGTGAAGTAGCGAAACCACAGCTGCTCACTATCTCCAATTCTCCAATTTGCTAGAAATTTACCACTTTCTGGTAGTCACCCACACATAAATGTCACTTGTTCCTCTCAACAGAGACCAGCTCATGAAGATCTCTGGTCATGAGGAACAAACAGAATGATGCTTAAATACTAAAGTAATAAAAACTTAAAGATTTAGGTATCTATTTGTCACAGACCTTTTTTCCAGTTGTATCTTCAACCTCAAATGTGAAATAAATTAAATCGGCAAAAGGGGAGGTTAGAGTAAACAAATGTATATAAATGCATATAAATTGTGATACTACAAAATAAAAACGAATAGTGACACCATTAGAAGGAATACAAAACACTTGCTTCTAGTTTCAGAGAAGCACAATTGTTCCTATGAACACCTGGAAACAAGGTCATCCAAAATAATTTTCTTTACAGACCAAAGCCTGAGATTGAGTTAATACCATAAAAGAATAACAACACTCAATTGCCAGCACTGAAATTTTGCTCCTCTTCCAGAACTTATGATTTTCAGATACTGATCCAAAAGCAGAGTATAGATTATAAAGCTCGATTTGTTTATTAGAAATAGCAACAATTTATTGAAACAGAATAATCTTCAGGCAATGATTCTATATTAAGCTACTCTGAGTTGGAAAATTATAGGTGTCTATATTGTCTATTGTATGAATGGGGATTTTGATTAGGAACAGAAATAGAACGCAATGACTAAAACCAAGGAGGAGTCCAGAAAGAGCAGATGTAGTAGTGAAACTTTCTACTAGGAAAAGCAGATTAAGGACTGTAGGCAGAGCATATAACTAAATTTACAACAGCATCTTGATTTATGAAGAACAAAACTAATGGTTCTTTATGAAGAACAAACTGCATGGTCAAAGCTATTTTAGGCACTACCAGCACCGTGACTACAAATAGTATGAATATTCAGGCCATTTCCTTCCTTAGGCCACTCTACATCTGATGAGTAAAATTACAAAATGAGCTGGGTGCTGTAAAAAATCTGGATATCTATAGCATCATACTTATGTATCTTACTGCCTTAGACCAAAAATATTGACCTTAAAACTTTAGAATCTCTATGAACCACAAATCTGTTGTTCCGTCTTTCATTTATGTAACATGCTCCAGATTCTGCTTAATTTATACAATACTTTCCTGCAACTTAAGTTCATATGAAGGATCCTAACAGTGATGATTACAAAATTAAGTACCAGAGCTTCATCTATTATTAGTATAAGGATAGATGTGGAATAATTTTTAAGCAAACAATTGATTGATTGATTATATGCCAATGGATTGCGTGAACTGACAAATACGCACACGACAAAAGCACGCCGACAAAAGCGCAGCGAGAAAACAGCGACATCATAAATACACCCACAACAACGCGCCGACAAAACCATGTCCACAAAAGCGCGATTTAAGTTAAGGTAAGGGTTAGGTTCAGGGTTAGGGTTAGGGTTAGGGTTAGGATTAGGGTTAGGGTTATTAGGTTGTTATTAGTTGTTTATTTAAGGTGCGCTTTTGTCGGCGCGCTGTTGTCAGCGCGCTTCTGTGCATTCGTTGGTGCAATTTCGACCTCGCTGTTTTCTTGCCGCGGTATCGTCGGCGCGCTGTGGTCAATTCTTAGCAACTACATAGATTTTCCCCATGGTAATTTATCCCTAACCTGGTCTTTCAATGCAGAAGGAGCATAGGGTATCCCATAGTCCTTGTTCCCAAGTGAAGTTCCAGACTAATAGCACTGATCAAGAGGTAAGGAAGCTGCTGCTAGTAAAAATTCAAGGCATAGTATTGTAAGAAACAATAAACTCTTCATTAGGAAAGTATGACAGGATTCGGTTCTGTAAAAATTCCTTCCTTGTTTAACAGAGATCTAGAAAACTGGGTGGTAGAGTGACAGTGGCATAAACAAAGCAAAAATAAGAAAAACCAGCTTGTTCTTCCTCACAAAAGCTAAACATTCTTAAGCAATTCAGAATAACAACAGTGACTTTCTGCAACCAACGTGTAAATGTTTACAGGAACTAAATTCAATTTTCTATTTAAAAAGGAACGTGTGATAATTTTTGAACACTTAGCAGTAGCTTAATACAAATAATCAGAAATGTGTAGAATATCATTTTTAAAAATGTGTTGATGACTGAAATCATATCACACATCATTTTAACCCAACTTTCAAGAACTTTAAGGGAAGACTGGTCTGGTTACTTTTGGACCCAATTCTTCCATGTATGGAAGATTTTCAATACCTTTTATGGCTATGTTTGTTTAATTCAAACAAGACAAGCTGTTGGCTCAAAGTTGCTTAAAGCAGAAAAGATGCATATTTAACTTCATATTAAAAAGTAAAATTAGCTTAAACTATCATATTTAATAGTGATTAATAAAATAGTATTTAATATTTGAAAATCTACTTGTTAAAGATAGGTTCCTTTCCTGTGGGATGGTAAATGCATCCTATATTTAAAAAATCTTAATATATAGTAAACTCTACAAATAAATTAAATATGTAC